CCCAGGGAAGTGGTTGAGTCACCATCCCTGGAGGTATTTGAAAGACGTGTAGATGCAGCGCTTAGGGACATGGTTTAGTGGGCATGGTGGTGTTGGGTTGATGGTTGGACTTGATGATCTTAGAGGTCTTTTCCAACCTTAATGATTCTATGATTCTATGATTCTATTCTTTGATATAACATCTTTTAATATAGCATGTATTATTATTATTACACGCTCCCCGTAATACTATCTGGCTACAAGCCTGTGTCAGGTCATATCAGTAGTTATGCATAGAAGGAACACAGGGTGAAAGGAAAACAAATTGGGTTAATGAGGAATTAATAACAAGTAAAATATTGTTTTAATTGGTCACTGGTTACAGAAAGATGAGTTGTAACATTTCAAAGAAAATGTGACTTTCTGTAGTACAGCGACTAGTTAATTAATTTACTCAGATGGGAATGAGTGGCTCCCTTATCACATGGAAATCAGTGCATAATGGCATTTCACACTTCAGGGTGAAGTAAGGAATATTTCTTACTGCAGATCTCTGTACCTCAGCCATGTAACATGCTGAATGGGCACAAAGGAATTCCCAAACCTTTTTAGCAAGGTAATTCTGTAATAGTGGTTTGAGTTAGATTTAACAAAAACTTTTACATAGTGGATGTTTTTACACTCTCCCCTAGGTACCAAAGGAAATATCTTTTTCCTATACAGGAAATATGCATTTCAAACTCTGCTTTAATAATGGTCTGGAAGTTTTCAGTCAACCAAGTGGCCATGTATGTACATGCACACGTGCAGATAAATGAACACACACAGACTGTGAAAGGGATTTTGAAATGTACTTATTGATTAAAAAAAATTACATTCTGAAAAACTGAGAGCATTGTTTTTGATCATGTTAATTTACGTATGAAAAAATAATCTAAATAATCTAAACATTTCAAAATGTTTCAGATATGTTTCAAAACTTCATTACTTTGTTAGTACAGTTACAGTAACATTATGGCAAATCTTCCTACACACTAGCTTTAATTAGCTGAATGTCTAACCAGACACAAAAATATCAGAAGTATTTCCCTTTGACTTTTCTGAGAAGACGAAATAGCCTGCTGCCACATGTTGTTTTAAAACGGGTACATGGCATCTATAATAAGATCTGCATGTATACATGCAATCCTCTTACTTTCTTTACTTGGTATCATGATCCTGTAAAAAGAAGATGGAGAACAAGCAGGCTTGCTATGATACTGAGCCTCATTAATATTGGAAGTAAAAATACTGGTTAGTATTCCTAAGAGTTTAAATATCTTACAGTATTTTGATTTTGATACAGAAACAATGTACGTGGCTATATAAACAAGCTGTAATCTGACTTATAAAGTCTAGTGAAAAATGAAACTATATGAACTAGCCATAATGGACCTTTTTCTGGAATAAGAGTCGTCCTTAGGCAGCTTCCCAAAATATGACCACAGCTGTATCCCAGAAGATAATGCTTTTATTTACAGTTGGAGGCACTGCAATTTTTGCTGAATACACGAATGGTGGCATGACCAATTATAGCTTATGCTTTTCAGTAAAACTATTACAGAATTTCTTTTTGGAACTTTACTTAATATTGTTTACTGGTCCCCTCTGAAAATTCCCAATTCAACAGACATTTAATGCTGACTTAAAACTGCACAGACTTTTCTGAAAGCATTGCATTAGATTTTGTCAGAAATATATGTCTTCAAGGAGGTGATCACTTTTGGAAGAAGTACCCAATGAAATACAAAGCAAAGAAATCTGCCAAGTGTGACTAATTGAGAGAAAATAATTTTGGGCAAGTGAAAGTGCTACATCTGTTAAGCAAGGAGAATTAGAGGGCATAGTGTCTAAATCACAACTGAACTCAAGTATCTCCAGAAGCAAAAAGTTACAATTCTGTAACCAGCATCTACTATTTGGGGAAGAGAGTCTTGATGAGGTATGTTGGTTACTGAAGATCAGCATAAAGACAGTCAGTGTAATCAGCCTCATTTAACATGCCAAAAATTAATCCAAAGACTAAATAGTGTTGATTGGAGATCACAGAAAGTTGTATCATCCCACAGCCTGAGTGTGCTTTTTATATATACAGCTTTTAATACAGCTGGTCACAAAATTTCTATCCCCCTACCATTTAATTTCCATCCAGATAAATTTGTCAATGCATATGCATAAATTACACATGAGAAATTGGCTGGAAAATAATACACCATAGATAAAACCTGTTATAAAAATATATTCCTGATCCAGAACTCTAATAGACAAAAAAAAAAAAGGCATGTCAGATAATAAAAAAAAAGACCACCTCACGATCAGATACTGATATACTTGTATTTTGTAAGTTGTAGTGATATAAGAAAGTAATATATTAGCAATGAAATTATTAGCAAGGAATACTTCAGTGTTTAGTTCCTTGGCAAACATATGATCCTGATGGATGTTTGAGGAAGGTTGGCTAGACCCTTGTTCATAATAATGTGTTTCGTACCTGAACAAGTCTTACAGATCATGCTGGCATGCACAATTCATGCTCTGCGAGCGCAGTCACGGGACCGTGGCTTGTCAGAGCCCCACAAGCGATGGCTCACAGCCGCTAGAAACAGCATGAAAACCCAGCACAAGGGTGTCCTGTGGTCCTTACAGGAGGCAGAGGCTGGAGGAGCCGCTCTTACCTATTTTCATGTCCCTGCAGCTGGAGGGGCTGCGGAGGTGGTGGCTGGGCGACGGGGCTGTGCTGGGCGACGGGGCTCTGCTGCGCCAGGGGACTCTGCTGGGCCATGGGGCTGTGCTGCTGGGCCATGGGGCTCTGCTTCTCCGAGCTGGGGGCCGAGGCTGGGCTGTTCAGCTCTGCGTGATGGAAAGCTGGAGATTAAAGACCTGTCACAGCATGGCATTTAATAAAGGGCAAAGGTAGACAATAATCATTTTTGGCCACACGCTACCTCTGAAAATTTATGCTTTGTCGCTTTTACTCTCTTGGGTTATAATTAGATTTTAAGACATCTGAACCTAATGGACTCCTTTTGATAGGCTGTGGGATCTGAAATCTTGGTCAATTCTATAACTCCAGTTGACACCTCCATTATTTAAAACCCAATTGAATAAAGCAAATGGCTTCTGTGTTTCATGATTTCTTTTAAAGCATAGAAATACTGATATTTGAAAACTTTTCATTTTGAAAGAATGAACGATTTTATTGCTTTCACCACTGTTATGGATGACAGACTGTCGTCACAAAAGCTAAAACACTGGTGTGCTTGTGTTAGCTGCTGCTGTCTTTGAGCTCAACAAGAGTTTCCTATCTTTTTTAAATCTTTGGGGACTGTGAACAATAAAACCAATCTCAATAAATTCTGACTAGCCAGCTAAACTGATGTTTTATTTCACTGTATTGTGCCAAATGACCAGGATTTCACATAGGAATACTGCAGAAAACCAGAATCTTTCCTTCCAAAGAATGTAATATTCAAAAAGACAGAGAGGCTGGGGGAGGGAATGGGGCCTTGTGGCCTTGTTACAAGTAAAGGATGCCAGTCTTCCTTCAGGCTTCCCACTGCACTTAGAAAGACACATTTGGCACTGAGCTCATGTCGAATATATTTCTCCCGACACACTGGCACAGTTATGTTGCTCGTTTATCTATTAAGAAACATAAATGAGAGAGACTCCATCCACAAGAAGACAGAGCACTGCAGAAGTAATTGCTCGTGCATTATCAACAGCAAAGTTACACATTATATTTTTTTATTCCTGCTTGCAACAGAATGAGCGAGGCCAGTGTGGCGTGGTGCAAAGCATCAAGAATGGACATGCATACGGCTGAGCATACCTAACAGCAATAGCTACGCATGATCCAGATCTTGCCTAGTTTTATATTTGAATCTAGTATGAATTTTGAATTATTCTATTTTTTAACGTGAATTTGTCCTCTATGACTGCACATTTCTAATAGCTTTCTACTTATTTAATTTGCGCTCATAATTATTTAAAAAATTTTGGCTACTTTATGAAAAATCTTTCAATTTAGGCTTAATTGTCAAAAAAGCTTGTGTATTTGCACTTAAAACACTCCTCATGCAGGCATAAGCAATACTTGTCTGTGTAATTACTATGTTTAAGGCTTTAATTGCCCATTTTGCATCTGTGAGTCTCTTTTGTATTGCAGAGTTTCAGGGAGGAAGATTGGGAATGTTGTCCCTCATTTCTACATTACTCTCATAACTATGGATGAACTAGTCAAATCGTAAGCTGCTTCTAAAACTGCTTTGCATTTATATAGTATTTTTCACCTGAAAGTACATTACAGAGGTATTAGATTTTTTTCCTAATTTTATAAGCTGGGAAGCTAATATCAGAAGGCAAATGAGGTGTCCGGTGTCACACAGTCACACAGGGAAGCCATGCCTTGGGCACAAATAATTTCTCGCCACTAGCACCTGAGGACATCTTGTAGCACTGCATCTCAGATGCACCCCTGCTTTCTTTCTAATTTAAGGTACCCATCTCTAACACCGAACTATTAGCAATTTGCTAATATGAATTAATCTGGGTACCAGGGAGGCCTAAATAAGCTGCACGGACTGCATGCAGCATCACACTTGTTTGTAGATTCTTGCAAAACTGATCTCCAGTTATTATACAGCAGCTCTTTGGTGTGAATTCTGAACTTGTGCATGTTTGTGTTTTTCCCTTCACTGCATTCATTTAACAAAGTAGGTAAGTTCCCCCAGTTGCAGACCATGGCTAGTGTCAGACTATTTCCTTGTCCCGTTGCTGGATGCAGCAGCAGAAGGGGAAGGTCGTCTAACTGGAGCATGGATCATTAAGTAATTACATTACTTGCTGGGTGACATTCCTAGCTCTAATGGTATTTGTTGCCGAGATATAAAGCCACAGTCTCATTAATACAGTACAATTCATACACCAGTACAGCGCATCACTACACTAAAAAAAGCCCTGAAATCAACCCCAAAACCCATGAAACCAACATCAAAGGATCTTCACTGATTAGCTGTGGAGTAATGACCAGAGTAATGAGTCTGTCCCCTTATCCTCACCTTGCAAATGAGATAATTTAGGGTTCAGTTCTTTCTTGCCTTGTGCATTTATAGTGATATACGTGGAGGAAACTACCAAATCTGAACTCTTCCTTCACATTGCTTTTTGTCACAGGTAGCTGGTAGCTGAACATGTCTGGTGACAGCCATTGCAGTCTCTTGTGAGTCCCTTTGCCAAACTTTGGTTTGGTTATAGCAGGATATAAGGGAACGAACTTAGGGTGCTTTTCCATGTAGAAGAAAAGTCTTCCAAAAGACATTAACACTGACCTTCCAGTACTCAGCTCTCTCTCAGGTTTTTCCAGGTTTGCTTTAAATACCCTTTTCATAACTAGAAACCTTTTCAAGAATTCAGATATTATTCGAGCTGGTTCTAAGGCTGTAATTTTGGTGTGCTGTACGTTACAGCTGAGAAAGCGAAACAAAAGATGTTCTTTCAAGCGGTGACATAATTCAAGCTAATTGGAGGCTACTTAAAATTTTCTTCCTGTTTTTAAGGGCCATTGACTTACCCTCCTGAGGAATGATGCGAAGAGTTACACTGAGACCTGCATCTTTAATTAGCTTCACAATATCTGCGTGAGGCATGTTAATAATAGACTGGCCATTCACAGCTAAGATCCGGTCTCCAACTTTAAGTTTTGCACAGCGATCCGCAGGACTTCCATCAATTATTCGCCCTATTTTATGGGGTACAGCTAGACAAGGAACAATAGTCACAGTTAGCATATGCTGAAACAAGTGGTGATGTTCACAAGGAAAAGAAAATGAGTTCATTTGGAAGAAAGTTCTATATGAATTAAAAAACACCTTATGTATAAACATATAAGAATATAAATTCTTATAAAATGTCATTTGCATTAACACAGTACAGATTTCACTAAAAATTCAGAATGCAGATGTACATATATACATGGCATATACATATGAAGTCCAAAATCAGTTTATGGTTCAGCTAGTTTGCAAACCTGGCACGTAACAAGATCATAAACAGATCAGGAGAACAATAAGGCATTAAAACAGCAAAGGGGATAAATTTGCACGATAAGTAGTAGTCATAAATTGCCTCCCACCTCCTAGTTTACAGAATTTCTTTATTTGTATGTTGCAATAGAGGCACTACAAACATGATTTATTTTATATACAAACAGATGTTATTACTGAAAATGCCCAGGGTTCACTAAATTGTTCTCCTCCTCCATTCAAATATGTCAACTGATAAATAGAAATCATACTGAAGATTTATTGAGACGTGCAGGTTTCTAATTAGATACATGCCAGCATGAATTTACAGTTAATTATGAGTGCATAGACACATTTACTACATCAAATAGACACCCCCTTCCCATTCTCAAAACATTACAGATCAACTTTATTTCTCTCTTTGCTCTTCTCTGTGGTTCTCCACCTTTCTGTGTACTCCATCCGTTCTCTTGTTCTGTCTTTTCCCTTATTTTCCATTGAATTTTCTGAATATTACTCTTGATCTTTGTCCCAGTGTTTCTTCCCTATTCTCTGGTTTTTTAACTAAGTGCATATACTATAGCTGACTTCTTTTCTCTCTATCTAGGCTCCCCAAAAAGCATTTTTCTCTTTCTCTACTACTCATAAATATGCTTATCACAATTAAATTTGTCTGTATGTTCTACTAATATCCTAACGGTTTCTGAGTATTCCTCACCAATCTCATACTTCAGTCTTGGCAAACTTAGCACAAAGCTGCTTGGCCTCTCTATCCACCTGCAACTGGTGTTTAAAAACAGTTGTGTTTCATTTTTTTAAAAATAATATATCCTTAACGTTCTAATATCTAAAAAGAACTTGGAAAAGGTGAAAGAAAAGATTAATCAAACATTTTTTGGGGAAACATCTAGGCTACCAATGCCCATATAAAACAAAGCTCTAACAGGAGATGTGTTCAGAATACTCTGTCACTGCAGAACAAATTTCTCAGCCCTCTGATAAATATTCCCTGAAGGTGATGGTGACAAACACAGTTTGCACATCTCATGCAAAGTCACAATACACATACCTCAAAGTGACTTTTGTTTCTAGTATGGACGCAAGTGTTGTTTACAGTGTTAAAAATTAGTTTTCTGAGAACTAAAAATATAAGAGAGTACTCTGAAGTGCAAGCCATAATCAAACTGCATGCTTCTTTACCGCTATAGTTCAGGTAAGAATATAAATTAAATTATGGTTTTAGTAATACAGACACAATTAGTGTACTTCAGAAATGTCTTGCTGCTTAGGAAATAAGCACTTAATTTATGTCACAATGTCTAAACATTTCTATATTTTAAAATATACTAAATATGACTAGCTGCACTTTGTACAAAACTTGCATTTATTTTGCCCTCGATGCAGATGTATAACTGCCATGCAAGCATATCAGTAAGTAAACAAGTAAAAGAGCAACGACACTGAAACAGTTTACATACTCACAGTCTTTCGCATCAAATCAATTCTTAAAGCATGACCAAGAATCATTTAAGCTAAGACTAAAACGTGCCTGTTTCTGGTATACGTGAAATTACCATGTCTGTACTACACATCAGTGGAGACCTGAAAATGAGACTGCCTTACATGAAAGTGGGAAGAAAGAAGGGGAAGTATTATGGCCGAGATGCCATAGTTAAAATTCCCATGCTTGCCATTGCTAACCCTAAAGAAGATGTTTTTGCTAGCCTAAATAATTAAGAAGAGACATCATTTCAGTAGGGAGTGGGGTGGGTGGGAAATCCTATTAATTTGCCAGAACAATTTTTGTTGGACTTCTTGCACCTGACAAGTGAATAGAGCAGATGTCTGCATGTTTGAGATGTCTGCTAAAATCCAAGCTGGAGGTGAGAGAGCCATAAGAGTCCGATTCCGCTCCAAATCCTGAGAAAAGGGAAGGGAGGGAGAAAGAGGATGAACTTCGTATTCATTTTTTCTTCCTCTTAAGCCTGATGGCCTTTATATTCCCCATAAAGGTATCTACTCTAAATGTTTTGGTACCACTGCACTCCCTTCGTCCTGCTATGCTATGAAAGGATCAACAGTAGGTGGCCTTCAGGACAAAGCTTCTGTCTGTCAAGGTATCTTTTCTACTGCACTTTGGTTTTTGAGGATTTAATGCTCCTCTTCTGAGGTAGTATTGGTGCAATGTGTTGTCATATGAGCTTGCTGCAGAGTGGGGTGTGGAAAGCTTTTGCAGAAGGAACCTGAATCTCTGCCAGAGTCTGCAAAGGAGACCACTGGTATGCTATATCAGGGTTTTATGGGCAAATCCAGTGAATTACTAATGAAACTCTCAGCCATTCAGCAGAAGCTGGTTTCTCTGCATTTCTAGATGGTATGAGGAAAAGTATATCTCCTTGCTCCTTCTCTCCCAGTAAAATTCCGAGGAGTTGCTGGTCTCTGCTTGCTCTCCCAGCTGGAGCTCTGCCTGAGTCTCCTCCTAAGCCACAATATCCTGACCACCATGGTCCCTGCTGCTGCTTTGGGAGGGGAGGATTTACTTAAGGATTTATTTACAAGCATGAGTGCTTCTAAAGGATGCAGGTTATTTGATATGCAGGTTGTTCATGAAAATATGAACCTGTCAGAATATGTTAGAAAACTTTTAAGAGCCTTTGGCGGTGATATACTTACTTTGAAGGGATAAGGAGATACTCTCATAGGGGACTAATTTGGTGAAAGTTAAGGAACAAAGGTAGAAATGAACTGTGAATTTCCATAATGGAGAATTTTTATCATTCAGAATGGTCACGTCTAAAACAGGCATGGAAGAGCTGTAAAACTGTCAGTACCGAGTGGGCTGAGTGAAGTGGCAGACAAGATCTCATGAAAAGGAATGCAAGATGATGCACATGGGGAAAAAATAACCCTGCCTAAGCTTAAGCAGGGATGGGCCCTAAATTAATTATTACCATTCAGGAGATCTTGAAATCAGTGTGCGTGCCTACTTCCCTAAAAACATAAACTTAGTAAAACGGTAAATACAATATTAAGATTTAGAAAAAGAATAGCAAATGAAACAAACTATTGCTAGTTACTTCTGTGCACCTAAAGTCTGAGTATTGCTGATAGTTCCAGTAGCCCCACTCAAAAATCATAGCACTGAGCTAGCAAATATTCAGAGAAAGACAACACGGCAGTCAGAAGCAGAGAACAGCCTCTGTTCAAAGTAGCCCATGAGTTTGCTATGTGAAGCTTGGAGAAGAGAAGGTGGGGCAACCTTCTGGAGGGCCAGAAGAATGAAAAGATTCAAAAAGGGATTAGTCAAATTCACAGGGGTGGATGCACTGCTGATTAAATCAGAAAATCATGATTGTGAAAGATGAGGAGGTGCCTGGGGAAGGTCTCTGTCTGCTGTAGGTGCTGTCCCCTCTGCCACTGGTCATGGCCAGGGACAACGCAGAGCTCTGCAGCCCTTCGATCGCTCCCAGCATCGCACATCTCTTCTCAGGAAGAAACCTCCCATGCTTGGCATTTAATTATGGCTTTGTCAGCACATCATATTTTTTCTTAAATTGCATCTTCGGTGTTTTATTTTTATCTAAGCAGAGCATTTAATAATGGACCTTTTAAAGGAAGTCCCAGATCACTTGACTGGTGATAAATGATTCCACTCGCCCTTAAAAATTTTTACTAATCTATTCACACCTCTTTTAAGAATTCGCCACAAGCTGTTCTCCAAACATATGTACATTTTGAACAGTGGCAGCACGAGCCTGGATTAGACTCTGCAGAGAATTTGATCCACTTATTTCAAAACACAGAGTTACCTGAGCAGCATTTAATATTAGCAGACTATACAGAAACACTTGGATTTGTGGGTTTTTTCCTGGAATCCCATTATTCATGCTAAGAGTGAGCACAGAAAACAAGCTGCCCCTTTGCAGGACAATTAATTTCTTAGTTCTCTCAGACTATACAATCGATGAGACTGCAAGGGAAAAATATTATGGTAAACAGGGATTTACACAGATTTTTTTAACTGTTGAAAATATGGGAAATTAGTGAGATACAGTTTATATGTATATGAAACATATAGCCCTTCAAAACAGATATATAGATTTTTTTCTCTAATACTATCAAGTCATCCAAAATGTGATACTTAGGAGTGATATATATATGGATATGTACCTTAAGAAAAAAAATTCTTCCGAGGCAGAAGTCATAATCCTAGATCCAAAAAAACCTAGCCGAGAACAGCAATGTTGCAGAAGCATTTCCGAACAATGGATCTTATGACGGGATCTAATTTTTCTGCATTGTGTTTTATGCAAAATTTGTGACTTCAGGGAGATTTGAATCCTGAGAGCACCAAAGCTTCCAAGATACTTGAAGCCATCAACCTCTCCCCCTAAATCTCCCTCAGAGATTTACAGCATTTGTGTCAGGAACACAAACTGACCCAGGGCTGGCACCTAGCAGCTGATACTTTCCCAGAAGGTAGTTAATTGTGCAATGATCAGCTCTAAGCTCATTATCAAAAGAGAACTTAAATTAAAAAATTAGGAGACAAGATGATTTAAAAGACATTTTTGCATTTAGAAAGTGGGTAGGTTCTGCTTTCAGCAACTTACTGATAACTACAAATTCACATTTTTCTCTATATTAATATTTTAATTTGATAAAATCACCCACTTTTACTCTCCATGATCCAATTTAATGTCCTTCCACAACTTCTTGTCATAGAAAAGGAAGA